ATATATACTTAATATACATTATAAAAATAGTATATAAATAATATTATCCTATTATAATATAATTATAATAAAGTAAGTTTTTCTCTCTATTATTCTGAGTTTTATTAGTATTATATGGTAATATTTTAATACTATAAATCATTATATATTATATATATAAATAATTTATAAAATAGTAAATATCATATATATATATATATATATATTGTATTTAATATACTATATATATATAAATAATAATATAATTTTAAATTATATAATTATTCTCATATATTTACATTATAATTATGATATAATTATAAATAATAATAATATAAATAAATATAACTCACTCATATGAAATTGATTTTATATTATATATGAGTATAGGTAGTATATATATATATATATATATATGCTATATGTAAATATATTATTATATGATCTATTATTATATATCTATCAAATATATGCATTTTAACAATATAATATATATGTATGTATATTTTATGTATGACTATATTAGATTTAATACTGTATATACTATAATATCTTTACAATAATTAGCTATTATATATATTACTATATGTATTAGTTAATAATTTACCTTTCTAAATATATAATATAAAATATATATATAGGTATGTTAGTAGGACTATACCTCATTATGATATTCTTTAGTATGTTTGCATTTGAATTCACCTAACCTTATATACTCATATGTGAGGTATAGTATAGTGAGTATTATATATATAAATATATAATGTAATATAAAAATATATATATATATGATATATATTATAAATATATATATATAAAATACCTCAATATATATAAATACTCACTATATATTTTACACTAAATAGTGATAATATGAATGAGAAGATATATATATTTAAAATATATATATATATAAGTAGTCATAGTAGCATATATATAAGGTATTATATATATATTATGTATTATATAATATGATAATATAACTTAGTATTATTTATTTTACTATATAGTATACTGATTATATGGGAATATATATATATATATGCATATATGAGTATGTATTACTCACCTAGGGCCTCACCAGTATATATAATAATAAGGCACCAGTACTTGTTGAGCCCTATGTATATACATATTCATAATATTACTATAAATATATAAGGTGATGGTGATATGAGATTTTATAATATACTACTCTATGTGATGTACTTATACCTTATTTATATCTTTCATATAATATACATATATTAATAAAATATTACATATATATTATATATATATTATAAATATAGTATCATAAATGTATTTAAAGAATTTTATAATGGGTATATATATAGGTAAGTGAGTAATATAATACAATAACTATAAGTAATATATAATATAAATGTAACATATTATAACAAACCTAATTAGAGCATAATAATATTATAAATATCTTATATAATACTTTATCATCTATATATAATACATAATTATATATATAATATATATATATATAATATAATACATAATATATATAGTATAAATAATAGTAGTGTAAATAGTATATATCATGAATATATATTATATATGGATGACTATATATTATATATATATTATGTATATATATATTATATATCTAGATATTACATACAATATATAATTACTACAAACTTTTTTATATTAGTATATATATACTCTCATATTTATCCCTTACTATTTTTTAAAGAAATAGTTACAAATAATTAAGTGCACATACAAATAATGGAGGTAACAGTGAGTGATGTATAAATGATTTAGATGTATTTAATGAAATACAAATCATCATCTCACTAATATAGGTGTAGTAAATTTGAGTTACTATTATTATATAGTAATATAAGGGTATACTTCTAAATAGGGTTGTGAGTACATTTAAATTAGCTATTTGAGTGGTATAGTTAGCATGATATACTAAAGAAATTATGATAATTTAGGTAGTCAAATATACTATTGAGTAGTTCTGTCCAATAAAATAAGAGGTATTATTAGGTAAATAGTATATATGATATTATAGTGTAATAATTTTCAATATTAGGTAGATAAAATAAACACAAACACCTATAGTTTTATACCCAATATTTATGTTGTGTAAGAGAATAAATTAAAGCCTTGTATAGTGTGAGTATTATGTGGCAAGTCAAGCCTGTGTTAGTGAGACGGGAATCAATAAGCTGCATAAATAAAGTCACTATAGTAGAATAGATGTGATGTAATGAAAATAGGTATAATAAATAATTTGATATAATAGTATATTAGTGAGCTCAAACCACTTAGTGTATGACTGGTTATTAATATTGATATTTCATATTTTATCTATTCTTTATATTCACTATATTCTTATCTTCTATTTAATATTGTATTTATCTTTATCTTATTTATATCATATCAACAGTTATTCATCATATATTATCACAAAGTCAAAAAGGCAATTGTCATATACATAATAGCTATATTAATTAACATCCTTTTAAAAGAAACAAAACACACATATATATTATTAGAATAATATATATCACACAAGTAACCTTAGTTGTTATAAATTATATATCAGTAAAATATGTAATATTATATATGATATATTATATTAATCTCATATTGAGTATTGCCTCCCACATATAGTATATATTAGCTCACCCAGTATGTGATTTATTTAATAAACTATACTCAAATATGATATTTTATTAGCATATTATATAGATATTTATTTTTTTCTTTATATATATATATATAGTGAATATATAATGAACACCTAAATATTTATACTATATGTGGAAGAACTAATATATTATGTATAAATAACTCTATATATATATTACTAAATATAACTAATCCTTAGTCTATATATATAAACTAAAATAGTAATATATACTCGCGTATAAGTATACATAATATTAGTGAAAAATATAATAGTATTATTTAATATGTCTTATATATAAACTAATATATTAATATACTCAATTAATAAACCATTAATAACTACTCAATAATATATAATATATTATTACTATACATAATTATGCTGATCTAAATATAAATAATACTGTATATAAGATTATATGGATGTCACTATATTATTATATAATAAATTTATAGTATATATATATATATATATTATTAACATAATATATATCTATATCTACTATTATATATTCTATAGTATTAGTATATATATATAACATATAAAATTTATATTATTTTATATCATAATAATCATCATAATAAATAATAACATAAATATTAAAATAATTACTGAATAATTATGATAAATATAATTATATATAATAAAATAAATAATAATAGCTTAGATTATATTTTTTATTAGTGTATATTTGATTAAACTTAAACAAGTATATATACACCTAATAAATTGGTGTTATTAGTATTTCATTATGAAAATTTATATGCTCTGATAAGTTTTATAATCTAATATGAGTCATTATAATAAATATATACCCTTATCGTCCTATAGTATACTTACTTAATAATCCTCATTATATCATAGAATTTCAGGATAGTATCACTCACTCACACTCACAAGACTTGTACTATATTATGCTATAATATATATTATGATTAAAATTAGCTTATGGTACTGTAATATATATAACATTATATATAATATATAGTATATATATATATATCATATTAAGTAGTATATATTATATATATATATATATATATATATTATATTATATGAGTTATAGTACTAGGCATATATATATACATATATATAATATAATATAATATACTATATATAAGTATATATATATAGGTACTATTTGTAGCTAGTATCGCTTCATCTCAAGCTCATCCCATCATAATTAACTACTATTGACTATAGGACTTCAACCCTTCTGTTAACTCACACACTTGGTTCTGTTTGAATAAAGTCATAATCCATAAATATATTTATAATTGTAGGCTAATTAATATAGAATATAACATATTGTGATAAACAATACGTATTCTTTATTAAACTAAACCTCATCTAAATATGAATTTACATTAATAAATGAAGAAAATCGGAAAATATAATAAATAGCATAATTGTATTTTAATATTTAAGTAGTATTAATATGAATGTGAGTGCATATTTTATATATCAGAGATATAGTAAAGGCTAGAATGATGAGTATATATATACTCTCTATATCTTCTTCATCACTCATATATAATATTAAAATATATTTATATGTATTAAGTATATTATAATAATTGTTCTAATAAATAAGAAAATACATAATTTATTTTTACTCATCTATAATAATATATATTAATAGTAATATATATTTGGGTATAGTATATAAATATATACTGAGGATTATAAATATACTAGGATAGTAGTCTCATAATAATATGATAATTTACTCTTTCCAAATATATTATTATTATTAAAAAAAACAGATATTTATAACCTTATATATATAAATGCTAACTTACCTCATAATAATTAGAAGTGAAGAAATATTTTATATATCTAGTGAAGTTATAGTTCTGTATTATAAAAGCTATTGAAAGTAACTATATTCTCAGCTTATACATTATAAACAGTAATAAAGTGTGATTATATATATTTTGACCTATTAAGCTTATTATATACTATATAATTTATATTACTTATTATATATATATCTGTTACTCGCTATTATCATCTGTGCTACGATACGGATATAGATTGGAGGTTATTACTACACAAGAGATTATCCTGAAATCAACCCATCCTAACCAAATACGTTGCATACCTTATGCTGACTTTAATCACCAGTAGTTATTATCCACTAGAATTTTTCCCAAGAATTAATAAATATGG